CTGCTCAGGCGGGTGCTGGGGATGCCCGCTCCACGCAGAGGCAGGGAATTCCCAGGTGGAGCTGCTATGCTCAGGGCACTTCCTCCTGCACTACACTGCCCTGGGCACGGCACAGAGGCCTGGCCCCGGGAGTGAATGGCTTCCTGTTTGCATTTCTAGAAAGTTAGGAGCCTGGCTGGCAGGCAAAGAGGGCCTTTTTGGTTCCTCATCTTGCTAAATCGGGTGACATGGAGGATCCCAGAAATTAGAATTCCCCTCGTTAAATCCTTTACACCAGCAGCTGCTTACTCTCTGCATGCCAACAAAAGTCATTCTGAAATCATGTGTTGAGGTCCTGCTGTGGCCAGAAAGGATGGGGTGGGGTGGGGTGTGCTGGTGGCAATAATAGAGCCAAGCTCTTGTCCCCCCACAGACCGTTAAATCTGGCAGATGGCATTGCCTCCCACTGCACATCCAAGTTCAGGTGTCTCAGAGTTTCCCCCCAAGGCTTTCACGGTGCATTTAATCAGAAGTGCTCCGAGTGTCTTTCAGAGCTGGGCTCCCAAGGGGAATGCTTAATGCTACTCTGGAGTTTCGTGGGCCAACATTAACGCTGTGTCTACACAAACAGAATCATGGGCAGAGGTGAAGTAATTATCCATTTGCAGCCAGGGCCTCCTGTAGTAGAGAAAAAGGAAGTAGGGGGATTGATTTACCCTGGCTGAGATCACGTCTGTGGAAGGAGCTAGCCTGATGGTAAAGGTTTCTGTTGTTCAGACTGGTTTTCATATTGATCCAGTTCCTTGGGACATGAACTTGACTGCCTTGTTCCTACCCCGAGAAGCCCCGGGCCAGCTGTTTTAAGACTCATTCCTGAGCGGAGGCATTCGCAGTACAGGTGGAGGGTAAGGCTGACTGCCCAGAACTTCTCAAACCACCCAGGCCTTGCTTTGTTTCTCGCTTGCCTGCAGGAGCCTGGTAAATGGGACGTTCTCCGAGATCAAGGACCGAATGTTTTCCCACCTGCCTTCCTTGCAGCTGCTGTGAGTATGGCAAGTTCTCCCTGAAAATGGGAGTCCTCTGAGGTGTGGTCCTGGGAGGAGCGATCTCTGCGTCTTTGGTATCAGTTCTTCCTAAGATGCTCAAGCTCATGAGTAGATCCTGGCTGGTTCTTAGTGGTACCATGGGCTGTGGTGTTCCCACCAAGCTGGGGCTGAAGGCTCTTAGCTCGTGTCCTTTCCTTCTTCTGGCACAAGGATTTGATTGTAGATCCCAGCCCCCACATCTGGCAACTAGGAATGTGAGTCCATGGAATTTTGACTAGAGCTTCACCTAAATGAACTGTTTCTCTCACTTTAAGAGAAAACCTACAGTTAAAACTCTTAATGTTACTCTGGAAATAGCAGTGTTTCTAGCTGACTGAGTACAGAAACTGTTGGGAAGCATACTATGCATTTATATGCAAAATTTTATTTAATCATCCTGTTATCCTGACAAGGAGGGTATCTTTATTTCCCCACTTGACAGATGAGAAAATTGAGGCCCAGAGAAGTTAAGTAACTTGCTCAAAATCACAGTCAGGATTCTAACCCACACTCATAACTGTTCTACATCCCAGCCCCTCTTGGCGAGCGCCTATGTCCTGCCCTGTTGCCCAGGTCAGTTCATGTTTGCTAATGAAATGTCCAGAAAGCAACTTTCAAAAGCAAATTATTGACAGGCAAAGTCATGAGTACATAGCACACTCTCTGTGTATGTATTGGGTTCGTAAATTTGAGGTGAATCAAAAGCAATATACTACAGAAAAACATAAAGAAATGGAATATGGTTCACTACTCATCCTAAGTAGACTGATTGTTGATCTTTTTGTTCTTGAAATGTTATGTACCTACTTATAACATTAAAAATTCTGAAATGTCTTAATAACTCTAGTTCTATTAAAATATACTTTCCATAAATAGGAAAACAGTTTTAGGTACTTTACCCAATAGACTTAAGTGGTAACTATCTATTCCATATAAACTTTTACCAAGGAGACTTAGGTGTGACTCATAAAAAAAACTATTGGTGCTAATGAGTATTCTGAAGATTTCCTAAACTTTTTTTTATTATTATTTCTCATGAGAATGTATAATATAGTAGAAAGGTTTCTATTTATTATTTATTTATTTTTATTTATTTAGGTCTCAGCTGTGTTACGTTGGTGAAGTCTCTTAACTTCTCTGGGCTCAGATTTCTCTAAAAATGGAGTTGGATTAGCTCCTTTTAGATCTCTACTTCCATGATTGCTAGTGTATAATTGAGCATTCATTGGCCATTTAGTTGTGCTGGCTTTAGAATGCTTTGAAATAACAGCTCTCAGGGTCTCCCCTGAGACCCACAGGGGAGAAAGGGTAGAGTAATGGGGGTGACCAGAAAATCTGGCCAAAGAGAACCCACTTGCTGTTTTCTATCAGCATCTGCGAGTTGGGTTGTGCATCTAATGGCCCAGTCTTAGGTTGAGAAGAACCCATATTTGCTCATGGGTCAGGACATAGGAAAGAAACAAATGCTTCACTATGGGACTCCGGGTTTACATCTCTGCATTGAAACCTGTCCTTTCTTTTCAGATTGCTGAATTCTAACTCATTTACCGTCATCCGCGATGATGCTTTTGCTGGACTCTTTCATCTCGAATACCTGTAAGTGCTGTGCTTTGTCTGTTTGCTGAGCATTTGGTCCATCAGTACAATTGCTGTATCGCTTTCCAAGCCGAACAGCATCTCTTACAGAACTTGGGGGTGGAGAAAACCCCACTCCCTTTCCAGCGCTGACCTTTTACAGTCCACTTGTGTATAAACATGCCGGGACAGAAGGAGGCTGGGGGCACAGAGGGGGAAAGGAAACAAAGAAGGAAAGAGATCCTTTTATTCTCTGCTGACATTTAATTTGCCATGTAGCAAACACAATTGGAAATTGCATTGGATATTTTTACCTCTCATAACGAGGCATGGATTTGCTGATCAGCCAGAAAGGATTCTGAGGGTTACTTAGTTTTAAATAAAGTCTCCCTGTATGGGAATACAATGTCATGTTTTTAATTCAGCTGGCCTATGTCCTGTTTGCAGTATCCCCTGGGAGCTGCTGACAAGGGTCTAATTTTCTTTTTTCTGTTTTCAAGAACGATTATTTTTCCTTTTTCAGAGGTGCAGTTCCCTCCCCGCATCCCCCCAGCAATGAGCTTTGCCCTCTCTCTGATTTCTGCCTTTCCCCTACTCTAATGTCTTTTTTTCCACTTAAATTCTTTCATCCTTGTCTTGTGTAACTTTGTAATAACATTAATCCCGTTATCAGATGGGATTTCCTTACTTGGCATTCAGAGGGTTTTTTAAAGCCTTGTCTCTGCTTTCTTATCTTAGGTGAGCAGGTAGATGTTTGAATTCCGAACACATCCTAGGTCCAAGGAAGCTCTCTGCTGATGGTATGGCCTCAGGAAGGATGTTTCTGGAGTTGTTTCTCCAGATGCACATACTATGTGTGTTCTCAGGGCATTGTGCTAGCATGCTTAACATGGAAAGACAGGTAGGACTGCAGCGCTGAGTCCAGCTGGGTTCTCTCAGACAGAGCATGTGAATAGGCCATGCAGCGAGTGAATGTGAAGCTACCAGTTTTCTCTTATGAGCAGTTCTTCTTAGTGTCAAGGTGATTGAGGAGGAGGTCAGCTTAGTTTATACTGAAGTCTGTCATGGAATAGACCCCTGATCTTTAAAAAGCAGGCATGGGGAAGTTCTCAGTGCAAGAACTATTTCATTAACTACTGGCATCGTGTGCAAAGCCTCTCCCTTGGACCATCTCATCAAAGACCCTCTTCCATTTGATGAAATGTGATGCCTTAAACCAGGAGTGGGGAACCTTTTTTTTTCTGCCAAGGGACATTTGGAACTTAATAACATTATTCAAGGTTCTCACAAAATTATCAACGTAGAAATTAGCCTGTTATATTTGGTCAAACATTGAATTAACTCATCCCTAATGCCCTGGCAGGACCAGACCACATAATTTCGAGGGCCTTAATATGACGCTCCCCACCCCTACTTTAAACTAAGCTGTAGGTCTCTATGGCCCGAGGGCATAGTTGTAGTGCATATATTTCTCACCAAGACTTTACAGCATAGCCAGAGCTATTATTAATGCAGGATTTTAGCTCAAGTCCTGGGACGTTTCAGCGCAGAGAAAGAAGTTTGGCACACATTCAATGTCATTATTCTTCCCACTTCCCTGTGCCTTCGAGATCTTGAGAGGACCCTGTCCCGTCGCCGATTTGTTCTGAGATTAGACCGTGTAGGACACGATGAACTCAAAAGTTTGCCAGAAGCCAAGTTTAATGGAACTTTCCCTCAGCAAGAACTTTAATAAGAAGATGTGAAACAACGGGCTTCCCTCAAGGGACAAAGATGTTAACAAACGTATGAGTAGCCAGGCCGTGAAATGTAAGAAGGGTTGATGTCTGGGAACATTCCAGGCCTACAGAGATTTGAACATTCTTGCCTTGGTCGAGTGCTTTCTTCTTTTTCCCCCAAACATGTTTCTATGCATGTTGCCAACTCTGAATTTGAAGATGTTCGTGCTGCTTCTGAAGAGAGTGCAGAGTAAACACTTGTGTCCATGTTTTAGATTTTATTTCAAACGCATGCCAATATCATTTCCTAGAGCTGTTAAGCTGGGAAAGTTCCGTTTGCTTATACTGCTGTTCTCCTAGGTTCATCGAAGGGAACAAAATAGAAACGATTTCAAGAAATGCCTTCCGTGGCCTCCGTGACCTGACTCACCTGTAAGTCCTGTGAAAAGTGTCAATCTGTTAAGGTGCAAAGTAAGATTCACTTCCTGGTGCCTCTCTTTTTCTTGACTGTTTTGTCCATATTGTAACATCGTCTGAATGAAACTAATTTCCAGGTTGCCCTAGAGGTTTCTATATTATGGACCGATCATCAGCCCATGATAATAAAGACACACTTGTCTTGATTATCTTTTCCATCATTCTGGATTGTCATCATGGACCACATGACTGCATGTCAAGTAGGGAGCACTCTGCTTCCAGGGGCCCACGTATGTGAGTGACGGAGGAGATGGGGAGGAAACTGACGTGTATTGTGCACCTACTCTGTGCCAGGCACAGGGCTGTGTGCTTAGTGAGCCTTCTCTTTATTTTTCAAGATAATCTGTGAGTCTCCATTTTATAGATTTAGGAACTGACACTTATAGACTAATAGAAGAAGGTTGAATGCAGGGTCAGAATTAGGACAAAGTGGAATAGAGACATTTTTTGTGATTCCTCAAATTTGAATGCAAATAGCTTTTTCTTTTATGTTGGATTAATCGGCAGCTTAAGCTAAGCTCTCTGGGATTTTTAATAGCTTTCTGGAGGAAAAAAAATTAAACAAATTGATTTGAATTGACATATCAGAATGAAGCAAGTGCACACACTTAACAAATGTAGAAAAGTGGAAAAAGTAGGGACTGCGGTTATGAAAACGTAAAGATAGCCATTGTCTTGGTAGGAGCCATTTATGAGCCAGGAACCGGGCCCCATTTGTGTGATGGATATTTTGTGTTTGAGTAAGATACCATGTCTCGTCCCCAAAGTCAGCTCATGTGTGGTACAAAGAGAAGTGAGAAAATGGGAGGCTTTGACTGGGGTGTTGGGCAGCAGTGGTGATATCCTCGGTGTGTATCACCCTGCCTGATACAGCATCTAAAGAGTTTACATCAAACCCTCATGTAGGCAAAAGTGTCTGTCCCCGGGCTCAGGGAGCACTTGGTTCTGGAATCCTACCAAGCAGAAACTCTGCCTGAGTTCAAGCTAACAGAGTCAGGAGATGAGGGAGCAGAGTGGGAGGTCCAAACATCCAAATCAGCAGAGTCATCCTGCAGAGCATCCGACTCCTGTTGGCATAATTGCTCCAGGTTTACTTTTCTTCCTGTAAATGTTTTGATTCCCGCCCCCCCCCAGAAAATTCAACTTACATGCCCAATCCCTGCATTCCTGTAGAGGCTAAGACAATGGGCTTAGAGACACATAGACTTGGGTTCAATCTCCAGGCCATCATTTGTTATTGTTGTTTAGCCTTTTTGAGCCTGTTTCCTCATCCTTAATCTGGGGATGATGATACTGACCCCAGAGGACTGTCGCATATGGTGGTTAATGCTTGCTTGCAAAGCATCAGCCAATCACCCAGGTAAATGCTCCAGGTATGATCAGCATTGATATCATTGTCATCATCATCATCATCATCGTCACCATCACCAACAACCTCGTTCCCTTCCTCTAATCGTTAAGAAGTCTCAGTTTTCTCCCTGGAATGCTGAGCAGCCTTGGCAGTTTGGGTGGCCAGACAGAGTCTGCTACATAGACAGCTGTGGGCATCTGGAGAGGAACAGCTGTGGCCAGATAAGCCAGTTCCCAGAAGTCAGGAATGAGGGGCTTTGTTTTGAGCAAAGACTCTGGGCAGATCGTGAACCTAAAGCAAAGCCCATGAGACTGAGTTAGCCCCGATGTCAACTTTCATTTGACCTGTTGTCTATGGTTCTTGGTCTGGAAACAGGTGAGAACGTGCAGGTACTGTACATGTAGATTTGCATAGCTTTTACACGTGTGCCCATGGGTGTATGGACTTCTCTACATGTGTCTACATAACTGCGTTTGTGTGTGCATGCTTGTGCATCTGCACACATGACCATATGTGTATATCAGATGTACATATATGTACGAGGCACCTCCTTCTCTGTGTGAAATGCAGAGAGAACAAAGGATTCCCCTGCTTGGGTCCAGAGTGCATCGGATGCACTAATACACCCATTCCGGCATGTATTGCCACCCGACAGTCAAGCCAACCAGGTCCCCTCTATCCCCAGCTCTTCAACCTCATTTCCCTAAATGTCCTCAGAACACGGGGCTCTCAGGGGGCTCCCATGCCTACCCAACTCATCCCGTTCCTGGGCTTTCCTTCACATCCTTTCTCTGGCCCTGGGTGCTCTTCTACCCACGATCTCCTGGGATCTGCTTGTTCTTCAAAGTCTAGATTAAGCTCTATCTCCCACGTGGAGCCATGTGGGTCTCCCCTTCACTCCTCCCGTAGCCTCCCTATTGGCTCCACACACCCAGCACCTTACTGTAGACTCGGGCCACACTGGTTGGTGTAATTTCATGGTGTTAGTTTTATCTCCCCAGCAGCAGTGAGAGCTCCCTGAGGGGAGGGCCCGTGAGGATCTTGCATTAACTGTGTTCTTCGTCCAGCATCTAGCACAGGGCTAAGCCAGCAGGACATCCTTTCAGATTCACTGGTTGACCTGTGCGTTCCTCACTGAGCTGGATTTTCCATGAGTACTCTACTCCTGGGCAAGTCAGGTGGACTGCTCTGGGTTGGAGATGCATGTAGTCATTAAAGCATTTAGTACAGTGATGGCGAACCTATGACACGCGTGTCAGAGGTGACATGTGAACTCATTTTTTTGGTTGATTTTTCTTTGTTAAATGGCATTTAAATATATAAAATAAATATCAAAAATATAAGTCTTTGTTTTACTATGGTTGCAAATATCAAAAAATTTCTATATGTGACACAGCACCAGAGTTAAGTTAGGGTTTTTCAAAATGCTGACACAGCGAGCTCAAAAGGTTTGCCATCACTGATTTAGTACATTGTTTAAGAATGAACTGGTCCTTCCATTTCCCCACTTTTTTTTTTTAAACTCAGAGCCAAGACCACATGTCAGCTCTCTAAAGTTCACTCCCATGATAAAGGAAATCACTGCCTGGAATTTGCTTGTTTAAGTGTCTGATTTTTATCCTTTATGAACTTTTCCAACACCTGCAGGGTCACATTTTCATGTAAAGAAACACGGGTCAGGTTTCAGGGCCCTGACGGAGCGGTGCCAATCTGTAAGTAAAATCTAGAACAGTTGTTTCCAGCAGCCCGTAAAGCCCAAGGGACAGGTTGCTGTTAAGTAGTTTTAGAAATGAAGTAAGTGCCATGAATTTGTAGATAAAATGAAGTGGAAAGTGAGATGTTATGCACTGAGTGTGAGTGGGGTGGATGGTCCATCTAAATAATTCAGCTTCTGAAATCCAAATTGAATGCTTGGAACGGTTGCTGAACAGTCTGCTTTTTTGGCCTCGAATATCCCATATATTCTTATCACTTTAATACGATACAGTTCAAGTAGCAAAAAAGAAAATTAGCTGAAAAATTCCCCTTTAATTAGCTAAAAAAGTTTTTACTTTACTTTTCAGGTAAAGTGACCATCAACCAGAAAAAAATCAAAATAAACATGTTTTTTTCTAATGTCAGAAAGCTGTTCAGTCTGATTACATATTCAGTCTATTTTCCAACATCTTTAAAAATGTACAGATAAATCATTTAGAAAATAAAGGTTCAACAAATACAAGAAATAGTATTTTAATTCATTTGTGGTTACCTAGATGGAGAGGGGTCTCCCCATATTCTGTTAGTATCTTGAAGCTGGAATGGTTGGTTAAAAATGGGCTCAAAGGCCCTAGCCAGTTTGGCTCAGTGGATAGAGTGACAGCCTGGAAACTGAAGGGTCCTGGGTTCGATTCCAGTCAAGGGCATATGCCCGGGTTGCGGGCTCAATCCCCAGTAGGGGGCATGCAGGAGGCATCCGATCAATGATTCTTTCTCATCATTGATCATCATTTCTGTCTCTCTCTCCCTCTCCCTTCCGCTCTGAAATAAAAATATATTTTTAAAAAAAGAAAAAGAAAATGTGGAACATTTTAAAAAATGGACTCAAAACTTTCAATTACAGTTGAGTCTAAGGAGGAACACGCATTTCTTTAATTCCTTTTTCTGGGATGGGTCATTATGATGCTACAGAAGACTAATTTCATATATGTTTCATATACATATTTCATATATAAACATATACACATACGTATTTGGTGATGAATTGCCTACATGTTTCTCATTTATAGTTTTGCTATTTGTACTCATGTAAAGAAAAAAATGTAGCCATCAGTTTCTTGGCTGCGTCATATTAGAACACAATGCCTGAGGGAAATCACAGACTTGATGTACATCGTTTCAACACCCAGCATCTTTCAACGTCAGCAGCCCAGCCCCATGACATTCATCTTTAGCAGGATGGTGACAGGGCACTGCAGAATCCTGAATCATCCGAGAAAGAGTTGATGGTGCTCATTCAGTCTTTTTTTGGAAGAGGGAAGGGGGGCGCTAAGATGTTTTAGAAAGTTCTTAAAAACTAACAGCAAAAATGCAGAATGGCTTCTGGTCAACCTTTGTTAATGAGAAAACAAAATCGATCACCATCATTCATTCCCTAAATGGGGTTTGTTGAGATTAATATTATTGTCAGGGTTAGAGCTGAGGGTCTTTAGGTAAAAGCATATTTATTGAGTCCTTTCTTAGAGTGACAAGTGATAGAATTCACTTAAATGGACCCTAGGGAATTTCTTGGTACATGAATGTACATCCTTTTTTTTTTTTTTTTAAATCATGTCACTTTAGTGCATAATTCATTCAACAAAGTTTTACTGGTACATACTATACGCCAGGCAATGTTCTATGACCTGAGGGTATAGATGTGGACAAACAAATCTTTCCTCATGTTGCTTACGTCTAGGATGAATACACGGTCAATAAACAAGTAGATAAATAAAATGTATAGTATGTCAAGTAACAGTCGTGCAATGAGGAACATAGCAGGGGAGGGAGATGTGTAGAGATCAGGGAAGGTGGTGATAGCTTCGGACAGATGTAAGAAGGTGATGGAGTGAGCTGTGGGGTATCTGGGAAAGAGCATTCTAGGCAGATGGACAGCAAGTTCAGGCCTTGACCTGGGGCTGTGTTTCTCCTGTTTGAGAAATAACAAAGAGCCCAGTGCAGCTGGATCTTGGTGGTTAAGATGTCCCATCGGTAGGTGGGAATGGAGGTAGACTAGACAATGGAGGGTTTTGCATGACATCAAAGGGACTGTGGCTTTTATTCTGAGAACATGAGTGCTACCTGAGGTCTAACCAATGTATATCAAGAGCTTAATAAATGCTGGTTTTAAAGACAAAAGACTTATATTGTACCCCAGCACTTACATTATTTTTGTGTAACTAAACTCAGTTCTTTATCTCAGCATTGATGACCAAAGCCAGAAATTGGAACCATGTTGTGCTGAAGAGGATTAGAGCTCTGTTTGAAATCATGACTTTATTTAAGGAACTTCAGAGTAACCGGGCCTGAAGATAATAACCACATTAAAATGTTACTTTCTGGTTCTAGCTCTTTGGCCAATAACCACATCAAAGCACTCCCAAGAGATGTCTTCAGTGATTTAGACTCTCTGATTGAACTGTAAGTAATGAAAATCAAGTTTGTGTCCACTTGTGCTTGTGCCCCAGTAAATCATGCCATTCAGTTCTCTCACCCTTTTGCTGCATTTCTCTTACATTGTAGCTCAAAAACCTCTGACAGCCATGCCCACTGGGAAACAGTGTGGAGTCTGTATGGGGTTGGTTTGTGCCATTTTAGAATATCCTTAGTAACATCAGGCTCCTTCCCTGAGAGAGCATATCCATCCGATTTACCTTCTAGTGTTTGTCACTTTTCACTGGACATAGTTTAACAAGATCTTAGTGTTTCAATTGTGTTTGTGAAAACTGGTTTCCTGGAATGTCCTGTTTGTGTTGGTGTGAACCTGTGTTGGCTGGTGTTCTGTCATCGCTCCCTTGTCCAGCATGGCATGGCGACAGTTTTAAGAGAGTTTGGAGAAATGGTGGTATATTAGCTCTGAAAGTCCCCTGTAGGCCATCCAGTTAAAACCATAGGCACTGGAGACTATTAAATAAAGTCAGTGATAAGAACAAGAAATAGGATGTATTAAATATAAAAAAATTTTAATTACATTTTTGAGATATTAAATATATCAAGATATTAATAATTCTGGAGTCTGATATCAGTGCCCAAATACTTGAGGCATGTCTGTTTCTCTGTGCCTGTGCTTTGTTTTACTTTTTAGAGATTTAAGGGGTAATAAATTTGAATGCGACTGCAAAGCCAAGTGGCTGTATCTGTGGTTGAAGATGACAAACTCCACCGTTTCGGACGTGCTGTGTATTGGTCCCCCGGAATATCAGGAGAAGAAGCTAAATGATGTGACCAGCTTTGACTACGAATGCACAACTACAGGTATGCAGAACCCCTGTCTAATTACAGGTAATTAGAACAATCCCTGTGTTTTCCCTTTAGCTTGTCAACAGGGACTGGAGAAAAGTGGGTGCAAAAACTTTCTGTCTAAGTTATTTTAGGCGAAATTTAAGGTCCAAAAGGTATGCATTGATGTGGTAAGAAAAATATCTCAACAGTTTAGATTTTTGTTAACTGCACTGGCTTTAATTTTGATTCTTTACAAAATTAAAATTTCTCTAAAGATTTTTTTTTAAGTCAAATATAAACTGGTGAGTTTGGCATAAAAACATTTTCAGGTCAGTTTGGGTTTCCTTAGAGAGCCAGTGCAGAGAGGCCTAAACGTCTGTTCTCTTGATTGAATTACATGAATTTTATTGAAAATTTAAGTAGTGAATATGAGACTTTAAAATCTATAAATTGCATTCGTAGTCCCATCTAAAAAGAGATAACTAGGTAAATTATAACCAATGGCAAAGTAGAAATATAAGTTAAGAGTTAATTGTCAAAAGAAGAAACTCACATTGAGGGGAAAATGTAGTTTGAGTTTGTTTTCCAGGACCCCCCTCAGGTTCCAGTTTATACATTTTTTAGGCTATAAAGATAAAATTAAAATACTAACTGCCTCAACTCTGCACATCTTGTAGAGAGCCAGCGAGTGTCTCCATATGAAAGGCTTACATGGAGTTGCCACAGCTTCTGGCACCAGATTTTGTTTTTTAATCCTCACCAGGGGATACTTTTTCCATAGTTTTTCAGGGAGAGTGGAGGAAGGCAGTGGGAGGGGGAGAGGAAAGAGAGAGAGAGAGAGAGAGTGAGAGAGAGAGAGGGAGAGAGACGTGACAGAGACACATCAACTGGTTGCCTTCCACATGCACCACAACCAGGGTGCAGGGAGCAAACCCACAACCCAGGTACATATCCTTGACTGGAAATTGAACCCTGAACCCCTAGGTACGTGGGCTGATGCTCTAACCACATAGCAGCACCAGCCAGGGCTAATACCAGATTTTAAAGGAGAGAAGATCAATCCACAGTATGAAACCTGCTTTATCAGACTTAGAAATGTAAACAGGCTGAGATTTGGTATCTACAGGGCTTCAAGGCATGTCAGTAGGAGCAGCAGGAATGAGAACTCAGACCATAGTTACAGAAACTCAAAAGACAAAAGAACTTGCAGAACAAAATATTCCATGTAGGCCAGTCCTCCAAATAAACAAACACTCACAAAGTAAAAATTATTTCCAGATGTCTTTGTAAATAAGGGCCCCTACGAGTCCTGTTCTCTTCTGAGAGGAAACCTGACTCTTATGGAAATGACCTTGTCTTTCATCACCGAACAGGGGCTTATTCAGCTGTGTAATTGGCAGGTGCCCTTTAGCCAGCAAGGCTGTGTGCAGGTTATTCGCTGTATTGTGGAGCAGTGCAAAAAATCAGAGGTCGAGTCAATGACATTTGCACCGAAAGGTGGCATTCAAGGCCATTGGGTATGAAATGCTAAACCAAAGCTCGTTGGGGCTGTTTCTACCTCTTCCCCAGCTTTTCTGGAGAATTCGCTAACCCCAGGTGAAGTTAGCAGCTTTTCCATTGTTCTAGTCACACCTGGCCATAGTGTATGAAAAGTTTGCCAAGCTCTGAGAGAAATTACACAGGCCATAGAGGGACCGGGAGACTTGGGAATAATTTACGTGAGACAACCTTACTTCTGAGCTTAGAGTCCCGTGGATGGTTATGAAAACCACCCAAGCTCTGAGAATTGTCATGGGAACAGAGGAGGTTTGGAACCAAGGTGGCCAGATCCTGAAATCTGTCATAAACCCAGAATCAGTGTGAGTCCCTAACACATTTTAGGGCATTCTCTCTCTTATATATATCTTCGCTAAACAGCTTCCTATTAAAATCAAGGAAGTCATCACACCTCCCTGGTAACAGGAAGAATGAGGATTCTATCTTTGTTATTGTTTTATCCCTTTAAGAATCGTGGACAAATGGCCCTGGCTGGTGCTTCTCAGTGGTTAGAGCATCGGCTCCATGCACCAGAGAGTCACGGGTTTGATTCCTGGTCAAGGGCATGTACCTGGGTTGCAGGTTCAATGCCTGGCAGGGTTTGGGAGGGTGTGGGAGGCAACCAACTGATGTTTCTCTCTCCCCCACCACTTCTCTTCCTCCTTCCACTCTCTAAAAAATCAATGGAAAGAATATCTCTGGGTGAGGATTAACAACAACACCAAAAAAGAATCGTGGACAAATGGGCTCTTGCTCCCAGGGTCTTCCATCATGGAAAAAGGCACAGCCAAGTTATAACCTGTCCCCAAGTAGAGTCCGTGCCTCGTAAGAATATAGGTCAATAGATTGTGAGTTTGGGGCTCCTATCTCCTGCTCAGGTAAAGCCTCATCGTCTGGGGCTTTATTAGAGGCTGAGAGGAAGAGGAAAAGCCCATTCCTAGGTCATGGGAATGACCGCACCCTCACCAAGGAGCACATCTTCTTAGTGTATTATTTCCTTCGTGGCTCAGATTTTCAGGAAAAGAGTAAATTCTTGAGGTGGAGGAGAGGAGGCAGACACTGTTCTTCCCAGGGAGAGGCGGGTACTGTTACTACCCTGTTCCCAGCACAGGGGTGTAGTTAGCACCTCGAAGCACCCTGGACTGTGTTCAGCTCTCGAGGTTAATCACAGTCCTTCCTGAACCCTCCGCCTCAAGTCTATTTTTATCCACCTCAGAAATCCCTGTTACCTGCTCATGATTCCCCGTGTGAGGTGGATAATTCACTAAATTCCTTAGAGGGAGGGAATTTTGCATCCTAATGGTCCTGTTAGCTGCCCTGTTTCAGGGCTGATGAAAATGCAAAGAGAAATAATGCATTAATGTGCAGTTTCTCTCCCAGTAGGATAGGCATCATGTATAATTTATTTTCTGCAAGTGCTATAAATAGCGAGGTAAAAATCTGTTGATTCCAGGGGGAGCCGTGCCCGAATTGGAAGAGTCCCACTGACATCATGAACTTAATCCAGTGTGAATGGAAGTGGCAGGCTTTCGCAGAGATCCCACTAATACTTAAACGCTAGTAAATTGGTGTCACATCCACGTGTGCATTCTCCCAGAGCTTTCCACGTGGCTGTGCGCTTGCTGCTTGTGAAAGATAAATTAAGACGAGATGGATGAATATTTAAATTTGAGTCCCTTCCCCCATGCACACAAGCTCATATGTATCGATCATTCTATTCCACCTGTTTCTTTCTCTTTTCCTTCTCTCCCTCCTCCTTTTTTATTTATTATTTTTTTTTGTTACTGATTTCAGAAAGGAAGGGAGAGGGAGAGAGACAGAAACATCAATGATGAGAGGGAATCATTGATTGGCTGCCTCCTGCACGCCTCACACTGGGGATCGACCCCACAACCCGGGCATGTGCCCTGACTGGGAATGGAACTGTGACCTCCTGGTTCATAGGTTGATGCTCAACCACTGAGCCACACCGGCCGGGCTCTCTCCTCCTTTTTTATGAGGAGGGGTTGTGGAGGGAGAAAGGGGTCTCCTATTAGCAATTCGATTTCTAATTCAAATGAGTTAACAGTCTGTCTTGTGCAGGATACTCAGTTTTTACAAAATATGATGAAACCGATGTTTTGGGAAAATAAATGACAATCAGACCATTGAAGGCCAGATTTGTAAAATGCTCTCCAGTCTGGCAGCTCTTTTCTCATTCTGGGAATCGTTAATAAAAAGCTGACTTTGGGGCCTGCACTTTCAGTGACCTGCGTTTTTAAGCAGACGCTCATGTTTCTGGGAAGCCAGCGTGTGGTCGGGAGCCTGACTAGAACAAGCCACTACAGGCATCACATGCATGTTCAGAAGCTTCTGCAGACCGGGGTTAGACGAATGCCCCCGGGTAGAGGCGTGGTTTACAGGCCTCCGGGTTGTAATGAAGAGAGGGCACCTGTGTCCCCAGAGTCTTTGCTAACTCCGGGAAAGGAAGCGGACAAGGCCGGCTACCATTTCCCATCTCGCGACCTGTGAGCACAGAGGCCCGGAGCCTGTGGCCTCGGCCAGCGCTTTCTGGCCTCTACGCGGGTCCTGCGCATGCCAACAGGAAAGAACCGAGGCTGATGCTTTCTGTTCCTCTTTGGCTGATCAGCGCTGGTATTTGGGGGGTTTTGGTGGAGGGTGGGGGCTCTTCCCTGCCTTCATGCAGGCAGCATAACGTTATCATTGGAACTACGACTGTCCAGCTACATGGGACTGTATCGTTACATATCCGACACCGCTGAGGCATGTCCATAGACGGCTCTGTGCTGACACTACGTGCACACTCTTATTTAGTCTCTACGACCACCTACGAAATAAACATCCCCCTCATTTTACTCATCCTCATTATTTTCTTGCCCAAGGTCGTAGACTACAGGGTAGGAGGGAGCCTGAGCCCCAGCTCTTCTGGATAGTCCACTCCCTGGGGTGGGGGAGGGTACCTCATCCATGATTGCCACCTGTCCCCACCCACTTGGCCACTTCTTGCTGTTGGGGTACAGAGGCAGCCTCCTCTTTGCTTCTCCCTCTTCTCCCCACACCTGCAAGCATCACTCATCAGCCTCATCCTCTCCCCACCCCAATCCTCAGAATGAGCCAGCGCTCCTACACTCATTAAGCCAGCAGCCTTTATTAAGCACCTGCTGTACACAGGGAGGGCCACCTCTGAAAGGTAACATGTCTTGAGCACTAACTGTGTGCTACGTACAGTTCTAAATGAGTATGAATCGTAACATACAGTGAGGAAACTGAGGCAGAGAGAGGGTAAGGAACTTCCCCGAGGTCACTCAGTGGGAAGGTGGAGTCACAGCTCTGGCATCTTGTCTCAGATGTCATTAAAATGGACACTCCCCCAAGGGACAGGCCAGGGATGGTGGCGAGGACAGAGGAGGTGGACTGTCCTTTCTCGGACCTTAGTTCCACGTTTATTAAGCAGCTGCTATATGCTAGCCCTGAGGCAGGCATTTCTGGCAATGTTACCCAATGTGTCCCTCTGCCATTAAGCTTGGGAGGTAAGTATCATTGCCCCCATATTGTGGATAGGTAAACTGAGGCCTTGTAAGGGGAAGTGTGCACCCAGGGTCTCCAGTGCAGGCAGTGGTTTTAGGTGGTCTGACCCCAGGCACAGTGCTCTTCCTGGTGCCTCTCATTGCCCTCACTCCCTCAGCCCTGCCCCTCTTTCCTATCCCTGCTTGTTGCCTGCTCTTCCTGTCACTACGCTTCCAACTCCAACACTTGCTCAGCTGCTCTACATCCTTTCCTACCCTGTTCCCTCAGCACTGTCCCTCTTGACTCACTATGGAGTGGCTGGTCCCCTAATTGCCTTTCTGGTGTAACAGCTGTATGAGGCTCCCCAGTCAGAGGTGTTTCTCCAGTGGCTGCTGTGGGCTCAAGCCATGGGGCTGTGAGAAGTGTAAGACCCAGGTCTGACCTTAGGGAGCACTGCGTTCAGGAGACACACCATGCTGTGTGCCCATGGCCAGACGTGCACCCTCTCTGGGCTTCTGGCTCTGTACAATGACACAAGGTCTAAGATCGCTCCCATGTCCCCAAATCTGACTCTGATGATGCTGTATTGAGTCAGTCGATGTGGGTAACAGGATGTAAACAGCAGTGCCTGATTATGTGTCCAGTGAATTAGGAAGAGTCTCAGGGGTTGGAGCGGTCAGAGAAGCCTTTGCAGAGGAGGTGGGACGTGAGGGCCCCCAATAAGGACAGTGTGGGGAGTTGAGGGCCAAGGATTTTCTCATAGAGCGACTCTTCTTAGCCGGAAATGCACCATCATTTTACCTCGGGTGCACTCAACCTGCCAGGAAGCAGTGCACATGGAAGGCTCTGTGGCTAAAGAAAGAACTTAAACTTTATTAGTGTTCTTCCTCCCACTTTCTTCATCGATTCTCCCGCTACCCCACACACTAAATGTCCTTGCATCCGAGGGCATCCTCACGCTGTTCCTTGGTAAAATTGTACATTTCCTACCGAGATTTATAATACAGCGAGTCTGTCGTAGCTCAGGGGAGTCGTGTGGACGAGAAGTTTAAATTTACCACTAAATGTAAGAGTTAAGCACTTGCTCAGATTGGGCGGGTTCTCTGTTGCTTGAAAATGCAACAGACCTCCTGTGAGTGCTTGCTGAGCTGTCCAGACCCCAGGCAGAGCTGTCACTCATTGCACTGGGCCCAGGAGTCAGTAACTGTCTTTCCTTCCTAGGGCGGGGGGCTGCGGGGGTCTTTATAAACCTCTGAGGCTGCATGGGAGGGCTTGGCTTGGTTTCCAAGCATGCAGGCAGCCATTGGGGGGCTGACTTCTCATTGTGAACCTGCCGAGGCAGCCTCCCCACCAGGGTGATGTAGAGCTGGGAGTGTGTTAACAGGTGATAACAGGGTCCCATTGCCTGGTCAGCTTGAGAACCACCCCAGCAACAGGTTTCTTTACCACCCGGCTCTTCTGAGAGCATTAGACAGCTTTCCCCAAATGAGGCTGCCCACTGCTGCCCTGGTTCACGGAGGAATTTTCAGGGTAGTATCAGGCGTGCGGCTCTGTGGCTTCCCTTCTGTCTGGCCTTTTTGAAAGCCAGGTCTCACCAAATGTGTTTAAAACATTGAGATCCTTCAGCCAAACCTGCGAGCTGTTTATCTCAAAGAAGCTGTATCAGAAGCTGTGCATTCAGTTGGAGATTCCCGTGCATGCCAGAACCTTCTGGAATCTCCCAGAGTCAAGCACACTGGGATGTTAGTGTTGCTTCTTTCCTGTCCCCCCTCCCCTTTTGGGAACCAATGAAAGGAAAGAAGGGGTGGTTGATGACTCCCACAGGACATCTCATGGAGCCTTTCTCTTTAAACACCTATTCCCAGATTTTGTTGTTCATCAGACATTGCCCTACCAGTCGGTTTCGGTGGATACGTTCAACTCCAAGAACGACGTGTACGTGGCCATCGCCCAGCCCAGCATGGAGAACTGTATGGTGCTGGAGTGGGACCACATCGAAATGAATTTCCGGAGCTATGACAATATCACAGGTGCGTGTGGCTTTGATGTATTGGCCTAATTTCAGCGAGAGAAGAAACGTTCTCTGCTGTACCGCGGGACCGCTTGGCTCTCTCACCTGGTTAGATTTTAGGGACACATCCCAGCCCACCCTCATCTCTGATTTTTCATGACATGGTCCATTATTGGTGAGAATGGAAGCCTCAGGTGGTGATCCTGTTTGTTGTCGGGGATCCTTTTGAAAAGGGAGAGAGTGATGGGTTACGTATGGCGGGAGGCATTTTCCTGGAGAGGTGAGAGGTCACTCCGAGAACCCCTCGATCTTTAGCAGTTATGGCACCTTTGATGGCACCAATTTTGTAGCAGCTAACAAGCCCTTGCTTTTTGTTAAGCTGATTATTAATGAATATGGTAATGAACACATGCACACAAGTATGTGTGCTCATGCACACACATGTACATGTGCATATATGCATGCTCACACACGTGCACATGTGCACACATACATGCCAGCATATATACACACATGTGTGTGATCATGCACATAAACACACCTCCACTGTCTAGCTGTTCTTCCTGCCCCCTTGCCGGGTCCCGGTGATCACTGCTTCCTTGTAATAAATGCAAACAAAATAAGAACACATGGCTCTCTAAACCCGGGCCTTTGGGACAAGACTTAGTTAATGATTCTTTCAGTGCTGGCAGGGGCGCCCAGTGTTTTACTGCTACTAAAAATGGTGGGGCTGCTTGGTTTTTAAATAAATGGGTAAAATTAAAATAATCTTGCAGAGACTTCTCGTTATCAAGTGCAACCTGATAATATACGAACTTTATAAGCAGCATCACAGTGGCCCAACGGTTACCTGCGAGAGCACTTCCTTTAGGGTCCTGATTTGGAGATGGAGCAGCGTTTTGCTGTTCCAGCGAGAAGCGGATGGAGGTGGAATTTCTGGAGGGGAGGCTCCTCGGAATCTCTCTGGCACCGGCACTGAGTGGCTTCGCAGCAGGTGCGGGGAGGTGGGAGGCAGGGAGTGTCGTGATGAGCCCCATCTCGCAGCCCTGAAGGTCTGTGAGACGCACATGCAGATGCCACTGAGAGGCCATTCAGATGAGCCACGTTGCTGTCGGCCATCTGGCCGCCTGGTGCTGAGCTCACATTCCTGAGAGCAGCCCCGCGCGTCCAAGTGCAGCGTCAGCACCGAGCCGCACAGGTGAACCTGCCGAGGGAAGCTGAGGCTTCGGACCCTAACCCAACCCACATGAAAGGAAAAAGGGGAACGAGAGAGGGATTCACGGCCCATGTGTTTCTGCCTCTCTCTCTTTCCTGACTTGGAAGGTGGCGAGGGGTGAATGAGCCAGCCCCTCTGCCTTCTCCCCATGATGGGAGGTGGGAACAGAGTGATACTTTGCTCTTGTGCAGGGTGAGCCAATGTCAGTGCTTGTGGCTAATGCTGGTTGTGGGCCTGTGAGGTGCCAGGTGCTGGTTTGTGTCATTGGAAACACACACACACACACACACACACACACACACACACACACACACGGTGATCTCTGCTGCTACTGACAGCTCCCTGGGCTAGAAGTGTTCACCGGGCAGAGGCATTAGGGGGCATTTCTGAAGTCGGTTCTTTCTGTCTCTCATGCCCCTTGGCTGAGACTGGCAGGCCTCTGGGTGCCTCTGAGCAGCAGGCACCTCCGGGGCCAGGTGGTATAGGAGGGAGACCAGGAGCGTGCACTCTCAGTTAGTGTTGGCAGGCGGGAGCCCGGGCAGCTTTCGAAGAGCAATGTGGTAGTTTAAACCCAGAAGCCTTAAAAAATGTGCACAATGTTTGACTCAGCAAACACATAAGAACACTGCCAGATGGTTTTCCAAAAACAATTTCTCTACGAGGAAGCATGTTACTTACAATCATGAAAAGCTAGAAATAACTGCAGTGTCCAATAGTAGAAGATTAGTTAAACAAACTACGGGGCATTCATGCAGTGGAATGCAGTGTAGTGTTTAAAAGTCTAGTTATAGAAGAGGAAATATCATGGGAAACTATTCACAAGTGAACATGGTCAAGTGAAAACACAGGTTAATAAGCCTATGTATTTGTACTGTAAGCTCAAATTTATTTTTAAAAAGTGCATTTGAATATGAGCATAGATTGATGATTAAGAAATATATCAAGATATTAAGGATCATTTCAGCATTTGCAGGACAATGATTTTGGTTTTCTTCTTTGTGCTTTTTGGTATCTTGTTGGTGGAGTGTAGGCAGGAGCCAGACCATCTAGGTTTCCTTTGGCTCCGGCCATCAGAAGAGGCCAAATGTCTTCAAGCGCCCTTATTAAAATTGTTTCCTCCTGCCCATGAGCCCTCACTCCTACCATGTGACTGCCTCCCACCCCCCAGGGAGGAAGGCCATTTAATGGCCAGTTCTGCCCTATGGAGCTGGGAAGTGCTTTTTGAACATCATGAGGACAATGCGTTCAGAGTGTCAGTGAATTTCCTGACTTGTACACCTGCCTCTAAAGACACAGAGACCCAGGTGACCAGCATTTACATGTTTCTATGGAGCCACCATTTATAAAAGGGGTTTGATTTTTTTTTAATTATGGGAAACTAGACATAGCATAAAATGTACCATCTTAACCACTGTTAAGTGTACTGTTCAGTTGTGTTAAGTACATTCACATTATTGTGCAACCAAAAGAACCCTTTTTGCCTTGGAAAACTGAAAATCTCCACCCATGAAATAACTCCCCACTTTTCCCTTCTCCCAGACCCAGGCAGCCACCCTCTCCTTTCTGTTTCTGTGAATCTGACTACTCTACTACATACCTCATAAAAGTGGAATCATACACTATCTGTTTATTTGTGAGCTGGCTTATTTCACTTGGCTAATGTCCTCAACATTTATCCATTTGTATCATGTATCAGAATTTCCTTCCTTTAAAAAAAATATTTTTTTATTGATTTCTCAGAGGAAGAGAGAGAGAGAGAAAAACATCAATAATGAGAGAGAATCATTGATTGCCTGCTTCCTGCACACCCCATACTGGGGATCGGGCATGTGCCCTGAGCGAGAATCGAACCATGACCTCCTTGTTCATAGTTCAATGCTCAACCACTGAGCCATGCTGTCTGGGTAGAATGTCCTCCCTTTTTAAGGCTGAATAAAAGCCCATTGGATGGGTAGACCACATGTGTTTATTCATTCACCCATCAGTGGACACTTGGGTTGTGTCCACCTCTTAGCTATTGTGAATAATGCTGCTATGGACATCACTGGACATGTATCTCTTTAAGACCCTGTTTTGAATTCTTCTGGCTAAGGGTCCAGAGGTGGAATTCTGTACTATATGGTAATTCTATATTTAATTTTTCAATGGTTTCCAGAGGGGCTGCCCCATATACAGTTCCCACCGGCAGTTCCCTAGGGTCTCCGTGTCACTGTGGAGGAGCATCTTAACCACGGCTGCCCTAATCCCCTCTCCTCTCTTTTGGGGCACAGGTCAGTCCATTGTGGGCTGCAAGGCCATCCTCATTGACGACCAGGTCTTTGTGGTGGTGGCCCAGCTCTTCGGCGGCTCTCACATCTACAAATACGACGAGAGCTGGACCAAGTTTGTCAAATTCCAAGACATCGAAGTCTCTCGCATTTCCAAGCCCAACGACATTGAGCTGTTTCAGATCGAGGACGAGACGTTCTTCGTCATCGCCGACAGCTCGAAAGCCGGCCTGTCAACGGTTTATAAATGGAACAGCAAAGGTTTCTACTCCTACCAGTCCCTGCACGAGTGGTTCAGGGACACGGATGCCGAGTTTGTCGACATAGACGGGAAATCGCACCTGATCCTGTCCAGCCGCTCCCAGGTCCCCATCATCCTGCAGTGGAATAAGAGCTCCAAGAAGTTTGTCCCCCACAGCGACATCCCCAACATGGAGGATGTGCTGGCCGTGAAGAGCTTCCGAATGCAGAACTCCCTCTACCTGTCCCTCACCCGCTTCATCGGGGACTCCAGGGTCATGAGGTGGAACAATAAGCAGTTCGTGGAGATCCAGGCTCTCCCGTCCCGGGGGGCCATGACCCTGCAGCCCTTTTCTTTTAAAGAGAATCACTACCTGGCCCTGGGGAGCGACTACACGTTCTCCCAGATATACCAGTGGGACAAGGAGAAGCAGCTGTTCAAGAAGTTCAAGGAGATCTACGTGCAGGCGCCTCGTTCCTTCACCGCCGTCTCCACCGACAGGAGGGATTTCTTTTTTGCGTCCAGTTTCAAAGGGAAAACAAAGATTTTCGAACACATAGTTGTTGACTTAAGTTTGTGATCGGCGAATTTAAAGGACACAGCACGAGCTCTCGGCCGAGAGCTGAGAAAACATATTTAAAAGGGAGCCAGGTTCAGAGGTCTGACATTAACACTGCATTGGGGAAATAGACGTGTTCAAGCCTTTAGAACTCACATTGTAATCAGGGATTACATTTACTGGCTAACTGCATGCCATGTCCATCCTCCCACTTAAAAAGACATAGGGAAGCCTGTAATTCCTGAGAGAAGAGTACAGTAGTAATTCTTACCATCTAGGAAAGTAATGTGAGATTTTTTTTTTTTAATGAGGAAGGAGAAAATCAGATAAGATAGGACAGCTCTTATAATGAAATTTTTAAAAAGACCAAACAAACTATGGGCCCTTCTCACCCCATTTTAGCTATCTTTCTGGTAAGGACTCTTAAAGCCAAAGTCAGCTGAAAAGATGTGCTGATGGTAAGTTTAAAAATCGGGTAACACTCAGCATTGCTATTTTGAGCCACCCTAATTTCCCGACCCCCACCCCCACCCCCTTCCTAGCAGAACCTTGGCTTTTGCATTGGCTCATATGAATGCTTGTCATGGGCGTGTCAACAAAATAATGTTTGATGAATTGCTTCCTCTGCTACAAAGAAAATCTTCCGCCGACACCTGTCTAGGCCCAGCATGGGCTGTGGGCCCAGGAGGGAGACAAAGGAGGTCTCCTCTCCTTATGGTTCAGCGCTGACCCTCGTGGTGGCCTGAGCAACAATGCCTATTTGATGCTCTCCATGATACGTCGCTTCTCAGAGCCCACTCTGAGTGTGTGGGTCGCCAGCAGACGGGCCAAAGACCGAATGGTGCTTTCTATTCTGTCCTTTAGAGCAATAGAACAGGTATTGCCATCTGATGAGAATTTCCAAACTAAGATTTTGTAGAGTCAGGGAGGACTTCACACACGTCTCCATGTACTTTGAAACCTAGAGATGGCCCTTGGAATGATGCATGCCTTTGCCCCCTGGGCAACTTAATATTTCAAGTAATTGAATAGCAACCTACCTACCTGCCCACCTGCCTACCTCCCTGCTCATGTAACCGTCTGCTTTGTTGATTTGCTGATATTGCTGCTGCCAGCACAGCCCTTCCAAAGGTGCTGTAGCAGCAAATTGTAGAAGCTGGGGTACTCAGGACAACACACTCCTCCCTCTCCCTGTCCTTTGCTCCCTTGGGGACATGTGCTGACAGGGGGCTCATCCTCTACACAGAAATGGGGGAAGAGGACCCACTGAACAATAGGGACCAGCTTAGGAGCCAGGCACGTAGAATCCCATAGACCGGGTCTGCGCTCAGGGGCCCAGGTGGCCTGTTTCAAAACAGGTCTCTCTGGTGTGGACCATTGGGAAGCTAATGGGGACAGGGATCTGGTTTTGTGGAGGGTCCAGGGGATGTTTTGCCTGGTTAGCTGGTTCTCTTCAGAGAATAGGAAGTAAATGGTTTCAGGAGTGGCTCTCAAAGAGTAACCCCACAACTTGTAGCCATGGACGTAGCATCATCGTTGTACTGTATTACTTTTTTAATGATTTGTGTTTGTCAAGTCATGAGTAGGTGGATGTTTTGCCACAAATATGAATGTATGTGTTGTTTCCAGACTGTAAGCTATGCGGATCGAGGCAATAAATAGCACTTAGAGAACAATGAGCTGGTGTCACAGCAGCTCTCTTGGGTACATTCTGGGACTCAAGGCTGAGGGCTCCCAGCCTCGGACACCAGGGACTGTCATGAACTAGCTCATCCACACATGGTGGCGTTGGGACGTTCCTACGAAGCACCAAGGGAACCGGAGAAAAGTGGCGTGTTTTCATTTTTTTAAGCACCAATGACTCTTGCTCCCGTCTTCTTTCCCCTTCCTGGTTGTTTGCATTGACTGCAAATGCCCAGATCCCTGCATCAGAGGCTGGACGTAGGGTAGCTCAGCTATTCCTCGGGCTGTCACAATGGTCAGACTATCCTTTCTGGCGCATGGAACCCTTCCGACAAGGTGGGGTGGGAAAACGGGCACTTGGCAAGTAGTCAAGTAGGAGACGTTTAGACAGCCCAGCGCTGTGCCAGATCAAAATGATGTTCCTGATTCAGACGTTTGTAGAGAAGGCAACTGCACCAACATCACGGCGTTGTCTCTACGGAGCGGTGTACCAGTTTCCCAGCTGCAGCGCTGAGGATGAAACTAGGGGCTAACCACGTGCAGTCACCACCCTGGTAACCGTTGCCCAGAATCTGGAAAACCAGGGAGCACAGGGTGCCGGGCTGGGTGTTGGGGGACTTGCTGAGTCCAGGTGAGACAGGATGAAAGAAAAATCTAAAGCTTATGATGGAGGCCGGGGTCGGAGGGAGAGAGGGTGGGGAAGCCATTCAGTTGCAATCAGGATTTCTTTTCTTTTTCTTTAAAAAACTTTTAGACAAGATCCGCATCTGCCGTCCCTAGAGTCCCTGCCCTGAGGGAGGAGATATTTGTTCTGGCCGACTTAGGAGTGGAGATGTTCTTGGCGCCAGGCGATAGAAGCTTTGCTTCATTAATCTTACTGCTCCATCCCAAGAGTCCCTCAAGTTTTAAACAATTTCTGCAAGAAGATTTCTCCCCGTAATAATGTAAGAGGAAAAACACCAAGCAACAACAAGAATTCGAAGCAGAGAGTCTTGGGGGACCATCCCTGTGGAGATAGCATGGGGTGGGGGGGCTATGCTTTTTGCTCCGTTCCTTCCCATCACCCACTGCTTGGTCGTCTCCGCTGGTTTTGTCTTTACAATCTTGGTGGCGCAGCTCCCAGACTGAGTCCCTCCACATAGACATGCGGCCAAGACACACAGCCTTAAAGCGAGGACTTGTCCCCAAACTCCACGGAGTCAGGAATAGATCCTTTATGAAGACTAAAAATAAGTCTTCAGATTGAATGGCGCTGTGTCCTTGGACAGTGGATGATAAGACCATCTTGCATTTCAGCAAACCTTTATATTTTTCCATGTACATTTGTATTCATCTTCTTTGCTCATAAATAGCTCTTCAGTTTATTGGCGGGCAGATATTATTCCATTTACAGTGAGAAGGAAATAGACACAGACATTCTAAGTCACTTGCCTGTTTAAGATTCTTTAGTCGTGAGTGGCAAAACTAGAACTTTCCCTCTGCCCAGCAGGCTTTGTATTTTTTCCCTGTGGCACTGCCAGACCCTCCAAGTGAGTACGTTTTAATCGTGATTTGGAAGAGAGCAGCACCTTGAGAGAAAATAAAAAATGCAACCAAATGTGTAGAGCCAGAAGGAAAAGAGTGCTGACTAGACACCATCCAATCAGCCGGCCCATTGAACAATTAAACGCCGCAGAACTGCCGTTACATGCAAAGCCCCCACTCTTGAAAGTCTTCCAGAAGTTTCAGATAATCTTCTGTTCTAAAGAGGGTTTCTAACGGGCCCGGCTGCCTCTCCCCTCACATAGCTCCGGGAAGGAGGCTGAGGTCGAGACGGGTCTGGTTCTTGTCACCATGTCCACAAGATAAACACGAACAGTTCCGCGAGGGGGGAACTAAAACCGTGATGCACGAGTGCTGATGAATTGCTCCGGGCTCCAGTCAGCCCTCGGGGAGCACGCTGGGAATGGCAGGGTTGCATTTTTCTTCCCCACGGAGTGAGAGGCTGTGTATTTTTAGGGAAGAAATCAGCGTGGGATGCTGGAGGTTTGGCTGCCAGGAACACTCAGGATGGAAATTTCTCCACCGGGGTGTAATGGAAGAGAGATGAAGGTCTGCGGGAGGGGAGCCTATTTGCATGCCTCCTAAAGAAAATCTCTTGAGCCGGCTTCCCAATTCTTCGGCAGAAGTATCAGCCCCTCGCTCAAAGCCTTAGAGTTAATTAGGCAGTGGCCAGAGCTTCTGTTAAACGGCACCCTGGAATAGAATGCAATAACCCAGCTGTCGACACAGTGAGTAAGATGGCCCAGACTTGGGGGAGAGGGAAAGGAAATGGATAGGAAAGCAGGGCAGATGGCCGTGGAGGAGACTCTTTGGGGAACGTGGAAGTGAACTGGAGGAAAAGAACAAGTCATAATGATTTCCTTCGCCTCAGCCAGGCAAGTAGATGGTGGAACAACCAGGCAAATGAACAGCATCCTGATTATTAACAAAGAGAACCAGTTATAGCTCAAATGAGAATAAGAATTATCTGGAAAGCTACAGAAATCTAAACCGAGGCACTCTGATCCCTACATGATTCCATTGCTTGTATCAGAATCCACCTTTTTCCTAGTAGGAAACTATGCGTTCCCATCACTCCCTTTGGCTATCAGGAATGTATAAGACCAGTGAGAAAATAGGCCAATATGCCATTTGGTACCATTTTTATGTATTTTAAATGCATAACGTAGGCAACATAAGTATAGTTTATCTGTATATGAAAGCGAATTTTGCGGTATGCAAGCTACAATGAATGCATTTGAAGTCCGAACGTATATTTAGCTCTTTTTGGTAAATAGAGTTAACAAATGATATGCCTCTTAATTCGCTGTGTCCTGTAAACCTATGAATAAAAAGTAGCTCCTGCCTACGATGGCTTTGATCTCGGGTCTGCTTGCATATGGATACGGCCACCTGAGTCATAGAGTTGGAGGGATGCCTACCCCGGGCAGCTGAGTGTGCCCATGTGTCTTTGCGGCTTGTTCCCTGTTTAAATAGAACGTGGGCAGCACAGGGCAGAGTTACAGTATGCAGAGCAGGGGACACCCTCGTTCTCTGCATGCAGACCGGGAGGGGAAGAGGGGGACTGGCTTAGCATGTCCAGGTTCTCTGTGCTAACTCACCTCTCACATTAGGACACCTCCGTTGGCTCAGGTGGAGAGTGGAGCATGCAGGTTGGCGCTGGGAGTATTGTGCTCTTGGGGTCTCCTCCATGTGGAAGGAGACATCCAGAGTAGGAAGGAAGCCTTCCCCCCGGCCCCCCCTGCCCC